CCCCGTCTGCCCCTCACAAGCTCACGGTGGCCCCGTCTGCCCCTCACAAGCTCACGGTGGCCCCGTCTGCCCCTCACAAGCTCACGGTGGTCCATGGCTTTCCTTCCAGCGCTCATCACCGTTGTGACTGCATGTTGACTTGGGTGTGGAATTGATTGATGCCTGTCTCCCCAACAAGACCATCAGCTCTGGGGGGGCTGGGACCGCGCCCGTGTAACTCACCATGAAATCCGTGCTCTGCAGTACCTGGCACATAGCAGATATGTAGTAAATACAGATGTTTCCGCTATGATAGGAGAGACGCAATTCTACAAAACCTGTAAAATCCTAAAAATGACAGAGCTTATGGGAAAAACAGGGCCAGGGCAAACGTCTCAAGGTCTATGCAACTTTGTAACCACAGCATTAACGGAAAACCATAATGATTCTAATGCTCATACCCGCACAACTAAAAAATATATGTTCAATTCTTACTAAATAAACTCTCAGGAAGAACTGGAAAGGTAACTTCACGGAAGGTGGGGAAGGATGACTTTTTTGCTGCTGGGTGATGGGGGAGAGGGACAGCCTGCACACAGACTGAAGAGAAACATGCAGAAAGTGCTTTCACACCAGAACCTGTGGCTGGGTGGGAAGAGAGGAGGGGGGTGGGGGGCCATCGGGCGCAGGGAGAGCACTCACCCCTCCACTTGCTGCTGGGTTCCGCTGGATTAGCATCCTCTGTGGCCAGAGGCGGTTCCTTGGTGGCACACAATAGTAATGTGCTGGAAGAACCTCGTAGGCCTGAATACGACAGCAGGAAGCACGCTGCATTTGTCGTGTGGGTGAGTGCGTCCACGGTGCATTAACGGTGGGTGCATTAATAACGTGTCGCACTCTGTGATGTGGTTGGCTCACTCATCTGTCTGTCCCCCTGGACTTGGTGGCCGTTCCTGAGTGACAGGGGCTCTGCCTGCCTTCTTTGTCTCCGGGTCTGTGGCTCATGGGCTGTCACCGTGAGGGCCCCGGGGCTGTGGCAGATCACAGGCCTCCACTTCTGCCCTTGAGGAACTGAGCGTGTGCCAGGTGGCACTCCGGAGTTACCCCCAGAACACTTGCTAGACAGATGCCTAAGCAGCATGGGCTCTGTGTTAGTGAGGGCTCCCCAGAGAAACAGAACAGCATATGTAGACATACATATAAGAGGAAGTTTATTATAGGAATTGGGTCCTGTGGTAATGGAGGCTGAGAAGTCCCATAATGTGCCATCGACGGGCTGAAGAGCCAGGGGAGCTGGTGGGATGATTTAGTCCAAGTCCAAAGGCCTGTGAGCCTGGAGCTCCAAAGTCTGGGGCAGGAAAAGATGGATGTCCCAGCTTCAGAAGAGAGAGAATTTGCCCTTCCTCTGCCTTTTTGTTCTCTTTTGTTCTATGTGAGGGTCCTCAGTGGATTGGCTGATGCCCACTTGCTTGGCTGATGCCCACTTGCACGGGTGAGGGGAATCTGCTTTACTCATTGGCCAATTCAAATGCTAATCTCTTCTGGAAGCACCCTTCCAGACACACCCAGAAATCACGTTTTACCTGCTCTCTGGGCACCCCTTAGCCCAGCCAAGCGGACACACAGAATTAATCACTGGTGCTGAGCCTGGGCCAGAAGAGGTGGACTTGGCAGATCATGAGGAGGTGGCATTGCCCGACCTGGAGGCCACGTGGACGTAGGACGTGAAGGAGGAAGGAGTCTGAGCAGATAATTCATTCAACAAGCATTCATTGAACCCCTGCTGTGTGTCAGGCGCTGTTCTGGCGCTGGCAGTCCGTGGGTGAACACAGGAAGATGTGAGCCTGTGTGGAACTCACACCCTGGCAGGCGGAACAAGATAAGAAATAGTAAAGTAATAAAGAAGTCAGGTAGCGTGTTCACAGGTGATCAGTGCTTTGGAAGGAAGAAAACGGCAGCATGAAGCGGGGTGGGCGCCAGGGGGGCAGAGGGCAGTTTGGGGAGGATGGTCAGGGAAGGTAGGAAAGGGCGGATCTGACCAAGATGGGCAGGAGGTGAGGGTGTAAGTGGGGTAGGTATCCCCCCTTGCTGGGGAAGAACATCCCCTACAGAAGCAACAGCTAACTTCCAGGGTTTCCCACCCTTGGCGCTACTGACATTTTGGGCTGGGTCATTCTTCGTGGGGGGAGGCTGTCCTGCATAGTAGGATGTTTAGCAGCGCCCCTGGCCTCGTACCCAGTAGATGCCAGTAGCATCTCCCAGTCGTAACTGAAAATGTCTCCAAATACTGCCAAATGTCC